CGACGGAAACGAAGACGACGCCAAACAGGACGACGACGACGACGAAAGACACAAGACGACGACGGCGGCGGCGACGACGACGACGACGCAAAAGCGCGCGCGCACGCTTTTGTTGAAATTCCGTGTTGCGAAACCATGTGTGTTGTATGTGTTTTGGACACTCGATTTTGAAATCCTTCCGAAACCGAAGGTGCTTGAAGGATTTCGGCATGCGCGCGCGACGACGCGCGCTCGCGCACTTCGTCCAATCTTTTGCTGGGGGTTCTCGCGACGGCACGCGCTCAAGGGCGTTCGAACGATTTCGGCATTTGCGCGCGCGAAGCCTGTTGCGAAACGATGTGTTGTTAGATGCTTTTTTGGGCACTCCATATTGAAATCCTTCCGGGAAGAGAAGTTTCTGAAGGATGTCGGCATGCGCGCGCGCGACGACGCGCGCGTGTGCACTCCGTCTTTTTTTTCGACAAGGAATTCTTGAAAACGTATGACTTTTTATAAACGAATGTGCGCGCAGAGTTTTTGTTTGCAGAGGATGGCGGGGGGGTCGATAGCGGCCTGGCTGGGACAGTATGAATTCAGGTAGGATGGACATTGGGTCAGAATCGTATGTAAATTGCAATACAAAAAATGAATGGTTAATCCGGGGGGGCGGTAGAACCTATCTCTTTTCAGGAGAGGAGAATTTGCGCGGTGCAAACTATGTGGTGCAATTGGCTTTGACAGTCTTGAAGCTGGCCCCCCCACTGCTCGCGCAAACATCCCACCCTCCCACTCGCAACTTGGCCGCAAGACCTCTTAAGACCGTGAAGGTAGGTACCAAATGGCACGTAGCAGCGACACCGACGCCGACGACGACAGCGACAGCGACGACGACGACGACGACCACGATGCCGACGACGACTACGACGACACCGACGACGAGCCCGACGACTTCAACGTCGACGACAACGGCGACGGCGACGACGACACCAACGACGACGACGACGACGACGACGACGACAACGCCGACGACGACGACGACGCCGACGACGACGACGACGACGCCGACGACGACGACGACGCCGCCGACGACGACGCCGACGACGACGACTTCGCCAACGAAGACAACGACGACGAGTGAGGAGGGAGGACGACGGCGACAACGACGACAACGACGAGGGAGGAGGGAGGATGGCGACGACGCGAACGACGAAGAAGGAGGGAGGACGGCGACGCCGACGACGACAACGACGAGGAGAGAAGGAAAACGACGACGACGACGACGACGAAATAGGAAGGACGACGACGAGACGCCGACGACAGACGACGACGACGACGACAAGGGAGGAGGAAGGACGGCCACGGCGACAACGACGGCGGAAACGACGACGCCAAAAAGGAAGACGACGACGACGACGAAGAAAGTCAGAGGACGACGACGGCGACGAAGACGACGACGACGACGAGGGAAGAGGGAGGACGGCGCCGACGACGACGACGACGACGCAAGAGCGCGCGCGCACGCTTTTGTGGAAAATCCGTGTTGCGAAACCATATGTGTCTTTGTATGTGTTTTGGACACTCGGTTTTGAAACCCTTCCGAAACCGAAGGTGTTTCAAGGATTTCGGCAGGCGCGCGCGACGACGCGCGCTCGCGCACTTCGTCGAACGTTTTGCAGAGGATGTTCGCGACGGCACGCGCGCCAGGGCATCCGAACGATTTCGGCATGCGCGCGCGCGCGAAGCCCGTTCGGCAGAATGTTACGGACACCTTGAGAAAAATGAATGATAGAAACAACTATGGTTTCCTCAAGAATTCGCAAGAACGCGCGCGAGTTTTGGTGGAAATCCGTGTTTGGGCGTTCGATATTGAAACCCGTCCGAAACCGAAGGTGTTTGAACGATTTCGGCATGCGCGCGCGACGACGCGCGCGTGCGCATTCCATCCCATTTTGTGCAAGGGAGTATTGGGAACTCATGTTGTTTACAAACGAATGCGCGCGCATACCATTTATTGCTGAGGATGGCGTGGGCGGCGATACGGCCCCCCTTTCTGGGAGAGTGTAAATTCAAATTCAGAATGGACGAAGGGGCAGCACCATGTGTAAAATTGCAACACGAAGAAGAGAATACATATATATATATATATATAACCCGGGGGAGGGTGGTAGAACTTATTTTTCTGGTGAAGAATATCAATCACTTCCTCAATTTGGAGTTGTCCACTCCAACGCTCGCGCAAACATCCCACCCACCCACCCGCAACTTGGTTTGCAAACCCCATGCTCAAGCGATTGCGATGACTGCTTGGTGTTGGCTGGTGCATCTCTGCGGCCGCGGTGGCCCGCGCATGTTCGCGCGCACGCAGCGGCCAGCTAGTTCGGCGTAATCGACGCGAACGCGGTGGCGCTGACCGCTCGGCACTTTCCACCGGGCACTCCAGTGCGAGTCGGCGACTTGGGCGGGCGCGGTATCATGGCAACGTCGGCAACGCTAGACACGATGATGATAGTAGCGCTGCTGGTGACGATGCGGACCGCGACGACGGACAGCAAGTGACGGCGCCGATGCTGATCACGCCACGCCGACGACGATGACGGCGTCTTCGCGTCGGCGATGGAGGTTTTGGAAGGACTTCGACATGTGCGCGCGGCATACACGCGAGAGTGGCCCGCATAATATTATTTGACACGGATCGCGCCACCCCAGCAAGCGCGCAAGGGCGTCCGACAGATTTCGACATGCGCGCGAAGCCCGTTTGGTAGCACGCGATGAAAAAATGTTGGAAAAATCATGGCTGTATTAAGAATTCGCAAGAGCGCGCGGGCAAGTTGTTTGGGGAAATCCGTGTTGCGAAACCATGTGCCTTATATGTTTTTGGACACTCGAATTTGAAATCCTTGCGAAACCGAATGTTCTTGAAGGATTTCGGCATGCGCGTGCGACGACGCGCTCGTGCGAACTGCGTCCCACGTGTTGCAAGTGATTATTGGAAACTTATGATTTGTGATAAAAGAGTGCGCGCGCATAGTTCTTGTTGCAGAGGATGGCGGGGGGGGGGGGGCGATACCGGTTTGGATCTGCGAGGTGCCTATCTATATGGTGCCAATCGGCATGCTGCAACCCTAGTGCTGCAAGGTGCGTGGTGCGGCGACGAGGCGGCGGCGGCGGAGGGCGACGAGGCGGCGACGCGGGGCGACGAGCGGCGACGCGGCGGCGACAGGGCGGCCACAAGCCGCCTGGGACGACAGGCCAACCCGGCTCCCTGTGCAAGAAGTAAGGGCCCCCAAATGCATGCACTGTTTGAGGCATACAAAATTTGTGTATACGCATACAGACATACGCACACACATACATACATACATACATACATACATACATACAGACAGACAGACAGACAGACAGACAGACAGACAGACAGACAGACAGAAAGACAGACAGACAGACGGACGGACGGACGGACAGACAGACAGACAGACAGACAGACATATAGATATGTGTGTACAAATATGTATATATACACACTCATATTCCTCTTCTTCTAGTTTTACAAGCCAGGCGGGGGGGGGACTCCGTCCCCCCCCTAATTGGACCCCCAAGATCGCGGGCTGCTGGGCCCAACGGACATCCTTGCCAAAGGTCCCCCAGCTTCCAGGGCGCTTAGCCAGGTCCTGCCAGCAGGGCCTAAGCGATCAGAGCGGTGATCAGAGAGGCCGAAGAAAGACCCAAGACAGCACAAGAGCGCTCCAAGAAGGACCCGGAGGGCTTCCAGAGGCCCCCAAGACGGTGCAGAAGGCCCTCAACAGGGCTCCCATAATGCAGAAATGGCTTCATTCCCTAAGGGAAACGTGCATTTTCAGAATATTCGCTGTTCGGTTTTTTGCAGCGTCCAATACAGCCAAAAAAACTTCAGGTATCGCCCCAAGACGGTCCAAGAGACCCTCAAGAGAGCCTCTAGACGGCCTGGATGGCCCCAAGACTGCCCAAGGAATCGACAAATGAGCCAAAAGAGGCGCAACAGGCCCTCACAAAAGCGCTCCAAGAAGGACCCAAAGGGCCTCCAGAGGCCCCCAAGACAGCCCAGGAGGCCCTCAACAGGACTCCCAGAACGCAAACATCGCTTCATTCCCTTCGGCAAACGTACCTTTTCAGCACATTCGCTGTTCGGGTCATAGCAGCGTCCAAAACAGCCAAGAAGGCCTCCAGTATCACACCCAGACGGCCCAAGAGATCCCCAAGAGAGCCTCTAGACGGCCTGGACGGCCCCAAGACTGCCCAAGGAAACCCCAAATGAGCCAAAAAGAAGCCCAACAGGCTTTCACAAGGCCCCCAAGAGAAGCCCAAGAAGGCCATGGGAGGCCCCCCAAAAGGCCATGGGAGGCCAACAGGAGGGCCCACGTAGCCCGCTTAAGGCCCTTAAGGTCCCTCGAGGGCCCAAGCTCCCCAACACGGCCCTGGATGACCCCAAGACGGCTCGAGACGGCCCCAAGCCCGCTGGCCCACCAGGGCTCCAACAAGGCCCACACGGCGTTTTCCACCAAACTGACCCGAATCCCGGGCTCGCAACCACAAATCCCGGAAATCCGTTGCGAACCCAGGATTCGGTGCATTCCCTAAGAATTACTTGCGTTCGCGTGCCCCGTTGCGACCAGCTGCAACCCGCTGCAACATTCTTCGCCGTCCCCCGATGGCGCCCTCCTCCTCCTCCTCCTCCTCAGTCTGCCGCTCCACCACTCGTCCTCCCCCACATCCACATCCGCTTCCTTTCCTCGCTCTCCGAGGTCCCCTCTCTCCTCTCCTTCGCCCTCCACCCGGCGCCTTTCGGGAGCCCCGGAGGCCTGGGAAGGGCCAGGGACCGCCCGAACTCTCGAAGACTTCTGAAAACCACCGCAAGGAAGGGGCCAAATTTCCAAGGCCACTAGGGACGGTGCGAACGACTAACACATGTAAAGCATTAAGGACCAGGGTGCATAGCGCGAAGCGCCAATACAGTTTTGTATGTATATGTATATATATATATATACACAGAGATCTCGTCGCACGACTTCTGCCACAAGGCTCGAAAATGGGTAAGGAGCCGCATCACGCGGCACCGCCCCTGTGATGCGGCCCTCGGGGAGGCGACAACGTGCCTTAGTCTGCACAGTAGAAAGGGTTGGTGAGACGCGCGGCTCTAGGGAGAAAACGCTCGCGATCATTCTGGCAACTTCTTGAACAGGTTGAACACCTTCCCAAATACAGGCATCACGTACTGCGACGTCGCTCCGGTCCCAAGAATCGCCCCGATGTAAACCAGTGGCTTGAATGGAATCGAGATCGCATAGGCAGACGTCATGACGACCGCCATAGTCGCATCCCCGTTGACCACGGTGGTGTAGTACGCGTACGCGATGAAGGGGACGTTAAGCGCCCAGTACAGCGTGTAGGACAGGATCAGCGAGATGGGGAATGCTGGGCCAAGCTTCTTCGCGAGAATCCAGCGCTCATCGTTGGACATCTGGAGCAGGGATTCAAGGCTGAGCTCCTCCGTCAACTTCCTGGCCCTCTCCTCGGCCTGCTCCTGTGTCATCATCTCGCCGGGCAGTGAGCCGCCAAGCCTCTCTACGACCTCCCCCTGCCTGATCACCTCCTTCCTGAGCTCCTCTTGCGGCCGATATGTATGCACATATTCACTCTAGGAAACCCGAGACGCAGCGAATATGGATACAATCTGGCATCGATCGAAGCCAGATGTTCGTCCATAGCCACTGGGTCTCGGGTGTGCGGGATCCCGTACCCAAAAAATCCACTACGCAGTGGATATGGACAGAGCTCTTGCACGCAGCCTCTGGATGGGCAGAAAGCGTACACAAGCACATACACCACGGACGCAGCCGCCCTCTCCGCCAGCAGACGGACGCATGCGCCAGGGGCGGCGCCCCCAGAGGGGGGGGCGAAGGCCGCTCTGGGACGCCCTGTGGCACGCACGCACGGCCGCGCGGGCGAGGGGGGGACAAGAGGCGAGAGCCGCAAACCCCGACGCCAGCGTCCGCCGGGCCCTGGGCCGAAGAGCGCGAACGCCCCCCATATGATCCCGACACCCGTGCCAGAAGGGCGAGGAGTGTGAAGGGGCGGGGAGGAATCGGGGAGGGCCGCTCCCGACACGCAGGGGGGGGCCGCGCAAGCGGACTCGGCGGAAGGCCAAGCCAGGGCCCCAGGGGCGCGGGGAGGGGGAGCCCCGCGACGGCAAGGCGGAGCTGCCCGCGGGCGCCCGGTGTGAGTGTGTGTGTGTGCTGTGTGGTGTGGTGTGGTGTGGTGTGGTGTGGTGTGGTGTGGTGTGGTGTGGTGTGGTGTGGTGTGGTGTGGTGCGGTGCGGTGTGGTGTGGTGTGGTGTGGTGTGGTGTGGTGTGGTGTGGTGTGGTGTTTGGTGTGGTGTTTGGTGTGGTGAGGGGTGTGGTGAGGGGTGGGGTGGGGTGGGGTGGGGTGGGGTGTGGTGTGGTGTGGTGTGGTGTGGTGTTTGGTGTGGTGTGGGGTGGGGTGGGTTGTGGTGTGGTGTGGTGTGGTGTGGTGTGGTGTGGTGTGTGTGTGTGTTTGTGTGAATGTGTGTGAATGTGTGTGAAGGTGTGTGAAGGTGTGTGAATGTGTGTGACTGTGCGTGTGTGTGTGTGTGCGTGCGTGCCGTGCCGTGCCGTGTCGTGCGTGCGTGCGTGCGTGCGTGTGTGTTGTGTGTTATGTGTGTTGTGTGTGTGCGTGTGTATGTGTGCGCGTGTGTGTGTGTTCGAGCGTTTGTGTGTGTGTGTTGTGTGTTCGTGCTGTGTGTGCGTGCTGTGTGTGATTGCGCGTGCTTTGTGTTTGTGTGTGAGTGTGCGTGCGCGTGTGCGTCTGCGTGGGCGTGTGCGTTCCCCCGGCCTCCGATCCTCGTACTCGGGGCTGCCCGCCTCCTTCGCCTCCTCCATCTTCGTCCACGCGACGTTGAACTTCACGGTCTCGAACTCCAGCTCCTCCACCTCCTGCCTTAGCGTGGCGTCGTCCTTCTTCCCCGCCACCTGGGGGAACCACAAGATCCCGATCCCACGACTCCCCGGACCTCTCCAGGGATGCGCTATTACCAGAATCTCGAGGCGAATCCAGCGGTGGGGCCGTGACGACGAGGGCCTCCCACGAGGTCCAACAAGAGCCAGGCGAGGCGAGGGCAGCGACATCGGTGTCTCGTCCTCCGGTGGCCACCCAAGGGGAAACCATCGACCTGGAAACGGCGACGCATCGCCGATAGTTAGGTTGGAGACAGGCCCCCGATAGCAAGATCGCACGCTCCTCGGCGGAGCGGGCTATCTACAGTCGGCCCGTATCGTAAGGATGCGCGATAAGGATGCAAGGGCCTTGGAAGGCTATGTTGACGCTTTGCGAGCGGGGCGCGGCCAACGAAAGCGGCCAGGGACGGACCAATGAGGCCAGGATGCAAAGGCACCCTTGGGAAGCTTGCCCATCCTTACTATGCGGGTTGACTGTAGCCCTCATACATATCGATTTTTGGCGCTCCGCGCGGATTTCTTGGATCTGCGCTGGACCCGCCTCCCTGGCGCGCGGAGCGCGCCAGGGGCGGCGCCAGAGGCGCCGCAGGGGGGGGGGCCCAGCGCAATCCAAAAAATCCGCGCGGAGCGCCAAAAGTGTACGTTCATGGCGTTCTTTCTTCTTCGACGATTGGCGATAAATGGGCGATTGGGGGTCGAGGTGCACGGTTTCCCCAGGGGCCGTAGGCGACCCGAGGATGAGGAGGAGGAGGAGGAGGAGGAGGAGGAGGAGGAGGA